TGCATCGGCATTAGGTGTGGAGTTTAACGCACCATATTCTATAATTGTTAGCAGATTTGAGGAATTCGAAGTCGCTGAAAGGTCCTGAATGGTCAAGGTTAGTGCTACATCTTGTGTGTGATTACGTTTAAATTAATGCAATTTTCAATGTTGTCATGGAATGTTAGAGGCATGGGAAAGCTGGAGAAAGTACAAGTGATCAATCCAGTAATAGCGTCTAACAGAGCTCGGGTAGTGTGCTTGCAAGAAACAGACAAACCATGAGTCCTAAGGCATCTGCGAGGAAAATATCTTGATGATGCCCTTTCGGTCCCGTCTGAAGGTGCCTCAGGGGGTTTGATGTCGATATGGGATACGAGATTTATTAAGGTAAGTAGGAAAGTTATACAGAGAAGAATTTTAGCACTGGTTGGTCATGCCCCTACTCTTAATATGCAAATCGAGATTGTAAATATTTATGCTCCGAATGTGCAAAGTGAAAGGAATGATTTCTTCATTCAGCTCAGCAATTAAATTGAGGAGTTGGGAGTGTTTGTCATAATTAGAGGAGACTTTAACACCGTCAAAGAAGCCAACGAGATGACATGAGCAAGCAATAATTCCTGTGCTACGAGATTTTTCAGAACACTAACCTAGTGGACATTCCTTTGGCGGGAAGTCAATACACATGGTTCAGGGGTGAGTCTGCAGTAACAATCAGGTTGGACAGATTCCACTACAACAAACTTATCAATTTATGGGCTATGGCGGCTTGGTCAGGAGCCTAATAGGTTGTCAAGTGGGGTTTAGATAGTTGTGTTATAAATCTGTCCGGTGTTCCTTCTAGAAATGTTTCTTGGGTGTGGAGGCGTATTTCGGCCCCGTTGATTTAGGAGGCTGATCTTTTTTGTAAGGATCTTAGATTCTCCTTGGGTGATGGCTACCGTATTAATTTTTGGGACGATTTCTAGACAGAGTTTCCTTCTCTGAAGTCGGCTTTCCCCCATATTTTTAGAGTTGATGTTAAAAAGGTTGGAAAAGTAACCGAATTTGGTTCTAAGGTTAATGGGTCGTGGGTGCGGAATATTGAGCTGAGGAGGGCCCTCTTTGATTGGGAGACTCCATTATGGGAAGATTTTATGAATACTCTTATTAGAGCAGCTCGTATTGATCTCGTTAGTGATGGTTTGAGATGGATTGGGTCTCCCTCGGAGCTTTACTCTTCGAGCATTTTCTGTCGAGCTGTTGTGCAAGGAGGAGCTGAGCACTACAGAATATGGAAATTCGTTTGCGCTAAATTGGTTCCACTAAGAGTGGAGGCTTTCATTTGGAGAGCTGTCCTACAAAGGATCATGTCGCTAGTCGAACTAGCCAAACGTGGAGTTGTCAGCTTGGACTCTTCCATTTGTGCGCTGTGTCGAAAAGCTCCCGAATTGTCCGACCATCTCTTTTGTCATTGTGAGGTGGCATGACATTTGTGGCAAAAATGGGTGTCATGACTTTTGTGGTCCCAAGTTCGTTTTTATCCTTCATCTACACTTGGATTGATCTCCCTCTAAATTCTAGGTGCAAACAAATTTGGTCTGTTGCGTTCTTTGGGATTGTGTGGACTATTTGGCTGGGGAGAAACGACTTAATTTTCAATAAGAATGAGTGTAGTACGGAGAGTTTATATAATCTTGCTTTATCTAGGATTGAGTTTTGGTGCAAGTGTAACCGACCATAAATTTATCCCTCGATTCTCGATTTCTTCATTTGTCCGGGAGCAGGAGCCAGGAGTCCTTATATTGGATAAGTGATCTCGTGACTTTACCGACCATTCATTAGTGTGTGTATAGTTCTTTTCGTATATGATTGAATGAAATTTGATTGGTGTTGTTGTCCTAGTCTCGTGTGATTTTGTCGAGTTGATGGTCACTCTAGTTTCATTGGTTGTTCTTTTGTTTTGGTCTGCTGTTGATGGTGGGGGCTTCTTTTTCATAATTTTCCTTCTGTTTTGGTTGTATTTGTTCTTGAGCTGCGGTATATAAGTTTTATCTAGGTGGTAGTGAATGCATCAACTTTCTGGTTCAGATCAGCTGCTTAGGCTGGGTCGTAAAGCCGTGTTTTTGAGTCCATGGTGTAGTTGGATCGGTGAACTGCTTGTCTATTTTTGATCCACTGCAGTGTGCGCATTAGTCCTAGCTGGAGTGCTGTTATTGCTCCATTGGAGGTGATTTAATGGTGTTAGTGGTTTTATCTCGGTGTCTTTGTTCGATGCTAGATTGAATTACTGCGTTATGTGTCCCTAAAGTGGCCTAATGTCTTAGTTTGTTTCAGTCGTTGTATTTACTGGTTGGTTTCAACTTGTGTTCTAATTTGTACTCGAATGTTGTCGTTGTAATTGTGTAGTCCCGATAAGGTCGGGGTCAATATTACGTGTTATTTTTTTTTATACATGAAGGCGCACTATTTTTCCTCCAAATAGATTATAGAGAGATTTTTTAATGAGGTCCTTCAGTGTATCAAGTTCTTTGTATGCTTCTCTTATTTTAAAGTATATGAAACCACCCCTTTCAAAAAAATCTTATTAATTTATGATGAAATTTCTATATGACGTTGCATATAACGTCACAAAATATACTATGACATGACTTTTTTTTCTTTTCTTAATATTTAATGCTTGATTATATATCTTTATGACAATTTTAAAAATGGACATTGATTTTAGTCACTATATGTTTGGCGTCAAAATCTTCACTCCAAAAAATTTGGTGAGAAATCTTTTAATGATATTTAGATAAAATAGTGACGTTTTAAAATCGTCTCCAATTAAAAAAAGATTTATTATGATGATAATTCAATTTGAATTAGTGACGTTGCACATGTCACTAATAAGTTTTATTTATGAGAATTTGATTCGTCATATTTTATAAGACATTAAAAGTAATATTTTATCATTATCAAAAAAAAATAATTTTATCATGACGAGATCAATTATTTGTCACTCATTATTATCTCTTTTTTGTATGATTATTTTAAAAGACGTCGAGAATTATGTCACATAATGTTTTCACCAAAAACGTTTTATCTATTATTGTGCGACTAATTGGTGAGCAATTTTCAAATGCTTTGGATTTTAGCTTGGAGTTTCAATTATTAAAAAAACAAGATAATTTAACAACATTAAAGAACAATGCAATTTGAAGAGAGATTTTTAGTATTTTTAATTCTATTTGCATATTTTATATTAGATTATCTCTCATTCAAAGATTTTTTTAAATAAAAACATAAAATAATAAATTGTAAATGAGAAACGATCAGATGATTTCCGTTTTACTATTACACTTATATTATTTCCATGATGTTATATCAAAGTATTTATGGAAAAAATAGGTACTTATGCCTAATCATAGATCCTTACTGCAATAATAGTATCTTGTATTGATGTAGAATCCTTAGAAGAATAAGCATTGCACATAGTATCGCAGATCTCCCATTTGAAAATCTCTAATATATATATATATATACATATATATATATATATATATATATATATATATATATATATATAGTTTTTAAAATATTTGAATAATTTGTAAAATAAAATAAAATATTTTTAATTTTTATTCAAATTATATCATTTTTACAATTTTATAACAATACTTAATATTTTTATAGTTTTTTAAAACAATTTTTGAAAATTTGAAATTTTAATATACGTTATTATTTTTACAATTTTAATAATATTTAATACTTTATTTTTAAATTAATTTCAAAATTTTCAAAAAAAAAGGCTTGAAATAAAATCATGGGACTTTAGTAATAATAATTTCACTAAAATTGGGTTAGCAATACAATGATGATAATTTGGATGTTAATTGGGTTTATAATAAGATCTCGAAGTTTAAGTGTGACAAATATGAAATTTAGGGACTAAGTTATAAAAGCTAAAAAATAAGAGGTTAAACATGGAAATTTTGAAAAGTTTAAGCCCAAAGAGTATGATGACCTACGTTGCAATTTTCCCATATTTCTTTGGAATTAACTTTCCCAATTTAATCATTTTTTAATGAAATTATATAACTCGCTTGACAGAATTGGGCAAATAATCCAGGCGGGTGGATTATTTAGCCCAATACACTACTAGAAAAGCCCTTTTAATGACTTTTATTGCGCGTCATCTGTGGGTGCAGATGACACACAAAATATGCGTCATTGAAGCCACCGACATAAATTTCAGATGACACGCAATTGTGTGTCATAAATCTATGACACGCATTTATGATACACATTTATGACGCTCATTTATAACGCGCATTGAGCATCATTGAAGCCCCGTCATAAATGAATATGACACACATTTGTGTGTCATAAATTTATGACACGCATGTATGATTTACATTGCGTGTCATTGAAAAACACGTCATTAAAAAAGATAACACACATTCGTGTGTCGTGATTGTATTTCGTAAATTATATATATATTGTAGATTGACAAATAATCAAATTAAATCACATTTAATGCCTCATAATACTAAATATATATATCATATTATATATAAGCAATCCATTTGAATACAATATATTCACATTAAGTTATAAAAAATATTGTAATCATATGTCGATACAAAATATCACGGCGTAATAAAATTTGCCACATAAGATACCAACTCTTTACGAATATCATCAATGTCATCATCCATGTATTCTTTTTTCCCATCGTCAACCTAAGTAAAAAAATATGAAATAAGTATATAATTTATACTTATTTAAAGTATATAACTATCAAAGAGTACTAAAAATGAACAATTTTACATATGCATTCTTTGAAGCATATGTAAAAATAAATTTTACACATTTAATTAGTAAAACTTCCCATATAAATTATATACATTATCACGGCACGAATTCACAGTTTTCAGTCTTGCTAACAAGTACTTGCATTAATTAGTTTAGAATAACATCATACTTCAAGTCCATATGATAGTTGTATGACTAATGTGTATGTATGATATGACATGTGTATTAGAAAAGTTTGCTTACATTCTTATTGGCCAACACTTCAAGTCCGTTGGTTTCGCCTGATTAGTAGCTCCCTTCGACTTAAGCAACATGGACATGGATTGCAACCTCTTTGTTATCTCGGTAAATGATGGCCCGGATTCAGGATCATGGGACCAGCATTGTTCCATTAGCTTCCTCCAATCAGGATGGCAACATTCTAGAATAGGAAGTCGAAGAATGTTCTTCACGATCCCTCCTGCAATCATAATTCAGTAATCAAACATAAGGTTTTTGTTTATCTTTCAGACAGTGAAAAACTGGAAAGGAAAGATGGTTAATTGTATGCAGTTTTTGATATGGCTTCAATTTATACACGAGTTGTTTGGGATGTTGTTTAATACTATTACAGAGCAAGAGCAAATTCAGTCTTATACCCTAAAACTCATATAAACCTTTTGTGATCTTCATCTTCAACGAGAAAACATTTGATTGATCATCAATGACTTTTCCATGCATATATATTTTCCATTCATAATCACTAATTAGGGCTATTAGCATATTGGTAAATTAAAATCTTACCAATGATGGCACCGCAATGCATATCAGCATATGGCTCCTCTCCGGTCAAGATTTCCCACATTGAAATTCCATATGAGAATACATCAACCTGTCAAATTAAATATTCATAAATTTGGCTTTAACGTGTACTCATTTTTCCCTTCCCAGTGGCAAGACATATATACTTGAATATGGCTTTACTTACCTTTTCAGAAACCTTGGTGCTGCTACCATTTAGCAGTTCTGGCGCCATCCAAGGCAGGTTCCTCGCACACCTCCAGAAACTAGAGTATTGCGCTTGATTCTTGATAATCCAAAATCTCCGATTTGCAGAAACAACACGCAGTAGCCATACTTCAAGTTAAGAGCCAACGAAAACCTTTCAGAGACATACTGATAATTTTGGGGTTAACTAGAACTAAGAATTTTTCTTTATGGTCATTTATGGTTTATAATATCACGTGAGGCACCTTGAAATCATAATGCCCACAAGAATGGTATTTGTCTTTAACAGATTGAGTACCTTGCATATGGGTCGTTGTGGGTCCCTTAGATTGACAAGCAAACATACTGATATATTACATCAAAAAGGATGCTGTCCAAATGCCAACATACTGATATATTACTGTTTTGTCTCCCCTGGAGTGTCATTTAGCACAACTCTAACTATCTTCCTTGGACCAAACCACTAAATACCTGGTTGTTCCCGGCCAGCGTCGCTTCCCACTCAACCGATGACAAAAGGATCTGTGACAAGTTGATCACTATTTCTTTCATGTCAGGTCGTACAATCGGATCCTCATCCACACATTGCTTTGCCAGCATAGCCACCTAATAAGCAAATCGATTCCGAACCAGAACACCAATCCTATCTACTCATTTTCTAGCCTTTTGAGGTCTAATATGGAAATGATATTTACCTTGAAGACACAATCATGAGGAAAAAGATCCAGCATGTTCGGATCGATATAATCCATGTTCGACATGCTTACTGAGTCTGGTGTGTTCCGAAGAGCTGCTAACATCTGCAAAATTGCAATATAAAAGGGTACTAGAATGTACAAGACAAGATGGAGGAGCATCTAACATCTTAGATTGCGCCACAATGGAACTCACAATGGATGCCAGTGAACGTCTTTCAATATTCTTTGTCGTGGTGCCTTCAGTTCGTATGATGGCCTCCTTTCCAGATATGATCTCAAACAGAACAACACCAAATGCATACACGTCGCTTTTCGACGATGCAAGTCCATTGCTCAAATATATATAAGAAAACCAAATGGGACAGTTAAAAGAGTTTAAAATAACATTTAGCAAAAGAGAAGCAAACTATCAATATCTGTATTACTCGATTTGGATATCGAGTGCTTGATACGAGTCTCTGGAAGGTCGTATCCCCTTACTCTTAATCGCAATATGTTCCAGAAACACGTACTTAATGTGAGTACTTCAAGAAAATTGGAGAAGCAGAGTGACAGAGAATAATAACATTACTTACTCTGGTGCCAAATAACCAAATGTACCAACAACTTTTGTTGTTGTTGCTTCTTCATGTGTTTTTCCAACAAGCTTCGACAATCCAAAATCTGAAATCTAATCCGAGAATAAAAGTCAGTAAAATGTTCTCAAACACACTTAAAAAAAGAAGCAGCAACATTTAACGTAATTAGAACCTTCGCCTTGAAAGAACCATCGAGCAAAATGTTGCTCGACTTGATATCTCGATGAACGTAATGAGCTTCAGTGTGCTCATGGATGTACTCCAGGCCTCTAGCAGCATAGAGTGCAATCTAAACCCTCATTACCCACGAAAGTGGTGTATGACCTTCAAGCCAGTAAACATTCGCAGAGTAATTAGAAAACAAATTTCAACACTCAACAAAGACATAATACAGGAGACATTCACTAACTAACTGAGCCCGGAGTTGAATGACTCAAAATATGTGGGTTCATTCTGTTCGACACAAGACATGGGACGTCAGGATAATAAGAATACCTTCCCCTCAATGAAAACTTCTCAAGAAATGGTTTCGAAGCTTATTCATTGTGGGCGTATGAAAAAAAGAAAGGCAACGATTATGCTAAATGATGCCAACTGCCGACCATGTAACCAGTTGATTGACAGCCAGGCAATGAAAAGGATTTTTCCATGAAAAAGCAGTAAAAGCAAGAAACAATGTTTTTTTCATTGAATTGAAATGATGAGAATCATGAGAATGACAGCTACTTCGTGACTCTAATGAAAAAATCAACAGACCTACGTCAAAAACTCAACTTAAATCCAAAATTTTAGCATTACAAAGAAAGAATCAAACTTCAATTCCAAAGGGAACAATTATATAAACATTCGTGTAGTAGAAGATAATAAATGGAGATTGACCCATTATAAGACCCATTAAAACTACCACAAACACAAGAAAAACCCATAACTCAGATCTCCATAAAAGAAAGGAGAACAAAATTTCAGTTAAACCCCATAAATGTTCAAAAAAAATGAATAAACCTTGGAAGTAAACAAAGAAGGAAAGCTTACTGGGATTCAATCAATAAAACGAATGAGCAAGTGTAGGAGGGAAAAAGAGAAAAGAGGGGAAGCACATGCGTGCGTGAACTGATTATTGAGGAGGCCAAGACTAGAAGCGGGAAAGGATGAAAATAATGGGGGAAATTAAAATACGACTTTTACAGATGATACACAATTAAAAGTGTACTCCGTGTTTTTGATAATTTTTTTGGATTATGACTATTAAATATGATGACACACATTATTGTAAGTCATAAATTGTTCAGATTTTAAAAAACATGATATTTTTTATGATACATTTTTTGTAAGTCATAAATTAGCGTGTGTCATCATTCGTGTGTCATTAAAGGTATATTTTCTTGTAGTGATAGAGCAATACAAAATTTATTTTGAGATCTACGACAAATGCTACAGTGTCCATGGAACTCGTCATGCCGGCTTGACGAGTTCCATGAGATATATTTTTTTAATGGTCTGTGTCACGTGAGTCCCACAACCTGAATTTATTTAATATATTTTATAGGACTCGTCCTGTTTAAAAACATTGTTTTAAAAAATATATTATTTTAATGGTGAAGGAACTCGTTATGCCGGTGTGATGAGTTCTAATGGCTAGAAATTTGAAAGTTTAGACCGTTGGATTGACTGTTGTTGAACGATCAAATTTTTTTTAAAATTCAATGGAACTCGTACATAACACACTCCTTCATCTCTTACACAACACACTCATTTTATCTCCTATCTATTACACAACAACTCATTTCTTCTAACCAAAAACATTTCAAACAATGAGCAACAAATTCTTCACAGTTGTCCATTATAATGGCGAAATTCTACAAACTGATGTTGGTGTTGTGTTTAAGTTACACAAGCCCATCAATATGATGTTCCCTCTAGATGTATCTCATCGCAAAATGAAGCAAAAAATTGAGAGAAAACTTATGGCTTTTGTTTAATGTGTAAGTTATTGACACCTGATCTCCACAAATCCAATGACATATGGAAAAGTCCAGCTTGGTGAAGACGATGTTGTTGTTGTTATGGCTGAAATTCATCAATCATCAAATAATAATATGGTGGAGATGTATGTCGAAACCACGAATACAACTGATATTCTGACAACATCAGTACCAACTCGAAGAAGAGAAGAAGCAGCCCCCTTTGAACCATATGCAAGTGATAGTTTTGATAACCTTGTTGGACGGTTCGGTAAAGTCTTGTTAAATTTAGCGAAGATGATGAAGATATTGTTCTGTTGGTAGACAATGATGACACACCATTAGTTTATGAGCCCGATGTTTTTAGACTGCTTCAGAGGGACAAGGTGTGGATGTTGAGGCTGATGTATGGGAGGCAGCTCTTTCAAGATATCAAGGATTGCAATATGTTCCAAATGTTTGGGCAAAAACAGACCCTCAACCTAAAATGCCTTGCTATGATTTGCCTCGGTATCATCATGCGATTGCAATACATGACATTAACTACGATGCTATGTGAAATCCTGGAATATATGATATGTCAGAGTTATGTGTTGCCCACTGGGGTTCTTCAGACGAGCGGTCATATGGTTGGCCATTAGCTCTCAGTTTGAAACAAAAAAAGAGGTACAACTAGCAATCAAGGAGTATTGCATCAAAACACATCTTCAATTCTATTTGGCGGAGTCAGATCAAAAGACTTATTTCGTATACACCATGATGTTGGTTGTAAATGGAGGATACAAGTATCATACCTACAACGAAAGATGTTGTGGGAAGTTACAAGGTTCAATGCACAACATGCATATACAATGACCTTCTTGATACAAGACCACAAACATTTAGATTCAGATGTCATATGCTCTTATGTGAAGCTGTTGGTGGAAAAAAAATTCAAGAGTGCCCGTTTCTGTGTTAGTGGCATCCATTCGAAACACATTTGGTTATATCCCGACTTATTACAAGGCATGGATGGTTAAACAGAAAACATTGTCCACATCTTCCAAAATATCAAGCTGAACACTAAAATAGGCATTACAAAATATCATGTATTGTAACTAGTTTTTTTTACTGTAACTATGTTTTTTGTAACTTGTATTATTTCCACTATGTTTATATAATTGGAAACTGTTAGTAAATAATGGTAAACTAATGATTTTATCTAACCATGAGCATTTTACCCTTAAAATAAAACATTGAAGGTCAAAATACTTAAAGAAATTAAATTTAAAATAATTATTTTATTTAAAAATTAAATTGAAAATGGAGGAGATAATTTTTTAATTGAAAATTTACTCAAAAATAATCATTTTGATAAGTATAACTTCACATTCTAATGATAAATAAAATTTTGGATTTTAATGAGACAATAGTTACTTAATTAATAAAGACAACTTCATACATAAACTAAAACCATACAAATCAATATTTATACATATGTCATTTTCTATTTTTTTTAGATCTCTCTACAATTCGTTCACTACGTCGGATTAAGACACCTTCATATTTGTTTTCCTTCGTCTTCTTCTTCTCAATTTCTATACTAAAATATTTAATTTTTCTTCCCTCTCAACGAGTCGTTTGCTATGCCGCTTCAATAAATCTTCATACTTCTTCTTCTTCTTCTCCTCTTCAATTTTCATTTTTTTCTTCTTATGCTCCTCAACTATGTACTTTATTGCCTCCTTTTCCCACTCTTCATCCGAAAAAGAGCTTAAATCTGAATCGTCGATCTCCGAGTCTATTTTGTGAAACCCATAAACATCATTAGCCAAATCAATCCCAATATTTCCCACAACCACATATTTGTTTTTCTCAATTTTTTCTCACTTGTCATTCATCCTAATCTTGACCCTAAACCCCTATTTATACTAAAATCACCAAAGTAAAAGTTGGAACTTGTCACGCCAGGGTGATGAGTTCCAGTTAATTTAAAAAATAATTTGACCGTTCCACAACAGTCAAAAATTAAATTTATACCCGTTGGAACTCATCACGCTGACGTGACGAGTTCCGTGGAATTTTTTTT